CCAGTAAGCAAGCCAGTCAATATCAAGTAACAAAACACAAGCGTTAAGATATGCTTCTCCTCACATACAGTCAAATGGGTCATCTGCAGTGAGGCATCTGAAGGCTTATGTGCCTTAGAGGCCTAACGTACGCTGGTGGCATTTAGTCACGAAAAAAATTTTTCAAAGAGTGATACGAAGCCAACAGAAATAAGCAACACAAATTCATTCAAAATGAAACTGAGGCTACATATCCTGATATACCAGGAGGGTAGTTTCTTGCTCCTTCCACTGAGCATGTTTTCAGGACTCTTCTCCTGCCACCCATCTACTAAAATTTAGGGTTCCTAGGATTTCTGCATGTCTCACTCTCATGAAATAATCTCATGCACTCTTAAGGGTTTAACAGCAACTTCTATCTGAGGACTTCTAAATATGTATGTCCAGCTACAACTTGCACAACCTGCATGTCTCACAGGAACCTCCAAGCTGACATATTCAAATTTAATTCACTATCCTCACCCTCTGACTAGATTGCTCTCCCCTGTTTTCCTTAAGATTTTATTCTTAAGTAATCTCTACACCCAGCGTGGGGCTCGAATTCACAACCCTAGGACCAAGAGTGGCAAGCTCCGCTGAATAAACCAGCCAGGCATCTCTTATTCTCCTATTTTCTTATCCTCTCTGGCACTACAGTCATCCAGCCAGTTAATGAAGCTAGAAATATGGACATCCTTCCTGAGACTCTCACTCTCAGCATCCAAACAGGCAGTAAGTCATGCTGATTTTTCCTTTCTAATTTTTTAGATCTAATTTATCTTGTCCCCATTCTTACTACCTGTAGACAGGTATCTGTCTTATCCTTGGGTATTAAAATAACATTTTAGTTGATCTTTGCCTCTTAAATTTATTCTTTGTGCAGCTGACAAAGTGATCCTTGAAAAACACATATTAAAAGGAAAAAAATAGGAGATTATAACACTTTGGATTAAAGACTTCCTTAACAGAGGAGATTAGGAAAATAGAGTATCCAAATCCGTGAACACGAAGCAGTATGGTCTACTATCTTCCCACTGTGGTATAACAATAAGATTATGAAAAGTGTTTATAAGCAAGCTTTTCCCAATGCATTGTTTTTCTTTGCTCCATTTCTCTTTCCATACTCATCCCATTTAACTATTTTATAACCTTGCTCTTATTCTCTGAACTCCCTCATCTATATCATCACCATCTTGATTTTCAAGCCTAAATGCTCCAAATTGGGTCAGCCATCACTTCCATGCAGCTCCTCCTACTTCTTTGGGCATCAAAAGCAAAAACTCACAACTGAGTTATAGCTCTCCCGTGTAGTACTCACTGTGTTTCAGGCTTTGTGCCAAGAACCTTACCTACACCATTTTTAATCTTCACAACAACTTTTAAGGGAGCTTTTGGTACAACCATTTCAGCATAATTGCTTCAATCTCAGTCTCTTTTTTTAAGGAAAACTACTTTTCTAAAAAAAATTAATGTATACCTTCCTTAAATAATTTAACTATAAGGAAAAAAAATAAGGATCAAAGTAAAACAAACAATTGTACAATTTCATCACCGGAAAGAAAGTATAAATATTAGGTAAACATGATTCCAGACATCTTTCTAAGAATGTATTATGATAGATGGTTTGGTGGACAGAGAGAAAGATAAATGAGAGAAATATTTTTCTAAAAATGAGAATTCTATACTACTGTTATTTTTACTTAATATTATTAAATTTAATTGCAATTGGTGTCAACAGAAGAAAATAACTTGAAGATAGAATTGTTAAACTTTATATAACTACAGGACTTTATGCTGAAGAGGTGCCTGAGTGGCTTTGTCAGTTAAGCATCTGACTCTTGATTTTGGTTCAAGTCATGATCCAATAGTTCCTGAGTTAGAGCCCCATGTCAGGCTCTGCACTGATAGCGGAAAACCTGCTTGGAATTCTCCTCCTCCTCTTCCTCCTCCTCCTCCCCTCTTCCTCCTCCTCTCTCTCTCTCTCTCCCTCTCCCTCCCTCCCTCCCTCTCAAAATCAATAAATCTACTCATAAAAAGGCATTATGTTGGAGAGACAAGACAACTGACTCTCCTGTTTTGGGGGGAAAAAAAAAAGAGCATCTTAGTGTTTTCACATTCTCTCCTTCTATCCTCCTCTCTCTTCTCCTAATCATTATTCTTTCAGGTATAGTCTCTCTGCAATCACAGTTCCTATTGTTGTTTGTAATTCATCCTATGGACAAATTTATTACAGAGCAATTACTCTGGAACATTCCTTATAAGATTTATCACTGTCTGTAAATTGTACATGTATGTGTGTGATTATATGATTCGTGCGTTTCCTTTTTTTCTCCCCAAGTACTTAAGTTCCATTAAGGCAGGGACCCTACTTCTTTTTACTCACCACTATCACATCACACCTCACATAGTGCCTGACACAGTAAAAATAGTCAATAAATATTTGTTGTACAAGAAGCAAATGTGTTAAAGGCCCCATCGAATGAACACATAGTACAATAATAATGGGGACTCAAAAGAGAGCGAAATACCCAAGAAAAACTTTATAGAAGATGCTATCTTTGAGGAGCATTGGATTTTGCTATATGATAGTGTCACAGATTAATTTGTGTTGTCATTTTAGGGGTGGAATCGAGTAGGAACCAGCAGGAGACTAGCGCCATGAGATATGTACCTGACATAATTTTACACACTATGCACGTTTGACACACAGAAAACTGTCTTGAAAGATAATACCTTTAGATAATACCATTATAGTTAAAGTTAACTATAATTATCTGAGGGTAAAGTGATATCAAATAATTTTTTTCTTTATTTCTGTAAAGTCTGTCTTTTCAATAATAAGCACATTTCTTTCACACAGATGAAAATTAATAAAGTTATTTTCAATTTTGGAAACATAAATATCCATAGGAATTAACATCTATGAGGGGCTCACTCTGTGCCAAATATTCCCTAAATATTTTAACAATATTGACACATTTCATATTTGAAACAAAACTGTGAAGTAAGACTTACTGTTGTGTTCATTTGATGAATGAGGACTATTCGAACAGAGAGGTTAACTACTTGGCTCAAGGTCACACAGCTATTAAGGAGAGGAGCTAGCATTTGTACCCAAGCTCTTCTAGCTCTAACATTGATGCCACTACCCATAACTACTTCTCACAGCAGAGCAAAATTTTGATAATCTGAGCTCTCTTTGTACTGTCTCGATTAGAAGAAATCCAGGCAGCATTACTGACAGGCACAGACAACCTCCACTGTGCCATCTCCTCATTTGACATTTTTCCACTTTAAAATAGGAAGATCTTTGAGCTTCTTCGTATAACTCTCTCGACCAACAACAGGCCACATGAACAGCTAGGAATGTGCCATTCAAAATCTGGTAAGATGCAGTCTCCTGAACAAGTGCACATGAAATGAAATCCCTCCCATATTATTTCTCCATCCTCTTTTCTTAGATTAAATCAATGGGTAATTCATCATCTTTCCTCAAAGGGTCATTTCCAATGGCTTCAATTATATTGGCATTTCTTATCCCAATATAAATGTCATGCCTCATCAGGGTCCCATAATGAAATGTAATGTAGTCTATTTGCCTGAATTTTCAAGGGCATTTGGTGACTGCTATTCTCTATACCTAATGCATCATTATGCACTGGCTTGACTAAAAAAAGAGCAGAATTGCGGGTAATTCTTACCCTCTAGGCAAAGTACATTCCTTAATGTAGGGTGGAAAACCAAACACACTAGTGAATCAATCCTAATAAGCCTTGAACACACACTTGCATTGTGAATTCTGGGCCTTTTAGGTTTCCTTTCTTACTCAACTCAAAGAGATTCAGAAAAGCAGGTTTTTAGTAAAAACTTATTTCTCCAAAGAAGTTCTTTATTCTACTATTAAGAAATTAGATGAGTCAAATAGAATCTATGTTTAATCATGACTCCTTAATAGTGAGGCTACTGTAAATACATGTGTGTATGACCTATTCTTTGTTCATGTATGAAATTTATGTCCTATAGGTGCATTCTATCTTATACCTTATGGTGGTTAAATGCATGTAAGTAGTTTATATGACCCTAAAATTTTTACCAATACTTTAAAAAATGTTGCATGTCCCTGTACACAGTTTATTCTTGCACAGTAGTTCTACAGTTGGTGGAAGTGTTTTTAGCCATCTCCTGATAGCGTAGTAGTTTTTACAACAAACTCAGTTCAGTGAAACAATGTACACAGTTGACCTAGAAAACAGAAGTGAAATTTCGATTCATGGTCTAGAATCATTTAATTCAGCTAATCCTATCATTATCAGCTCTTTGTCTCATTCCATATCATGTGATTCCTTCCAAAAGCAAGAAATCACCTCAGGAAAATGACCAATAAAATCTAAGATGAAACAACACGTTTTCTCATTTATGCTTTTATTAGGTGAGTCATCTCTTTTGTAATCACTACTCCAGCTTGGTCTATGCTATTTAAGTTTTTTCTTTTAACTAATCTCATTTACTTCCATCTATGCTGATCTACATTGTTTTCTCCTGAGACACAATGAAAAGAAAATTGTTGTGCTTTTATCTACTCATGTGTTCTTTCTATAATCCAGCAGGGAGCTCAGTACTCAATACAGCATTTTACTGTCACATGATTACATCGTCATCCATCACCATCTATAATTTTTCCAGAGAAACCACTCCACTCTTCTGTAATTTCTGATGCTTCTGCAATGATCACAGACAATAAAATAACAAAATAAAAGAGGAAAAGGCAATTTCAAAAACAAGAGCAATAAGTGGATAGCATTCTCTGTTCTCTTTTGACACAAATAAATTCAGTCCCCTGACATCTCATGTATTCACTCATATATGCCCACACTTCACTTATTCATGTTCCCCAAATGCTGGGAAAAATGCTGAGTTGTCTTACAAGCCCTAATGCTTGCCTCCTCCCTAAGGTATGGCATGTCTTCTTTTAAGTGAATCTGGTGCTCGTTTCCGCAGCACATAGAATAAAATTGGAACGATACAGAAAAGATTGGCCTGGCCCCTGCGCAATGATGACATGCATATTTGTTGGGTGTTTCAGATTTAAAAAAAAAAAAAAAAAGTGAATCTATGTGGTAGACAAAGACAGGAGGAAAGGAGATTGGAGGGGCCCAGGCCCAGGCCTCTTCACCCGGCTTTGCAAATATAAACTTGGGCTGAAAGAGACACGGAGGAAAGCTCAATCTATTTTCTTGAACATCAGAAAAGAAAGCACCCTAGAGTTCTCCTTTGATATTCTTTTTAATGCTTATTTATTTTAGAGAGAGAGAGAGATAGAGAAAGTGAGTGAGCGTGGGCACAAATATGGGAGGGGCAGAGAGAGGGAGAGACACAGAATCTGAAGCAGGCTCCAGGCTCTGAGCTGTCAGTGTGGAGCCTGACGCAGGGCTAGAACCCACAAAATGTGAAATCATGAGTTGAGCCAAAGTTGGATACCTAGTCTACTGAGCCACCCAGGCGCCCCTAGAGTTCTCCTTTAATATCCTTATAAATTGTTCTAGGTCTCCAAATAATAAATGAATTGTTATTATTTGTATAAATATAAGAATATACCTAAAATTTATAAAACCTAGTAGCGCTTAAGAAGCTATATTAGGATATCACTGTGTCTTGAAAGACTCCAAATACCAAAAATTTTAATAATTTCAACACCTCAATGATTATTTACTTTACTAGCATGGTTTTTCCAACCTCCTTTTTCTAAAAATACTATAGTTTCTTTTAGTAAATAAAAGATCATTTTGATTACTTGAAAGTACCCCTTAGATTCCTACTGCTTCTACTCTGTCTTCTCTGAAGCATCATATAAAAATGTCAGTAATCCATGTTCTAGGCATAATCCTGAGTGTGTGCTACTTTATTATTTTTAATTTTCAAAAGTTCTGCAAGGTAAGTATTATTCATTTTCTTCATTTGCTGAAGAATGAAACTGAGTGTTAGGTTAAATAGCTTGCCAAGTCCTGGCAGGTAGTAAATAATGCAGCTAGTATTCAGAATCAGGTCTCACTGGCCTGATTCTGACCAAACTTGTGGGCCTGCATTCTCTAACTCCAGGGTCTATCAAAAGGCTTACCTCTAATCATAGAGACCTCCACAGGTAGTAGAGAGCTATAGCAGACTTGGTTACAGGTGGGATTTGATAACGGAAATTTTCAACATTTAATGTTTCTGGGCCCAGGGAAGCTACAGTTTTACATTCATGAAGGTCAGAATGACTTAACTGAACCTTCAAAGTATGGGCTCTATTTCTGCCTCATGCACATGGCGTACATCTGCTTTGTTGGCAAATAACCTAAAAGAAACATTTCAAACTAAAGAGTAAGATTTTCCCTAAGTTTTGGTCCCCTACCTCTGAAACCTGCCACGATGCACATACTAAAAGCGTAAGATAAAGTTTGTAATTTTCTGGGATGTCCTTCATCATGATGATGTGTAACTCTTGATGTAACTAAAAACCTATATAACCTGGAGAGTTGGTTGGCTCGGTTGGTTATGCGTCCGGCTCTTGATTTTGGCTCAGGTCATGATCTCATGGTTCGTGACAATGAGCCTTGAGTCCAATTCTCTCTCTGTCTCTCTGTACCCCCTGCCATGTCTCTCTCTCAAAATAAATAAATTTAAATATATATATAGGGGCCCCTGGGTGGCTCAGTCAGTTATGCCTCCACTTGGCTCGGGTCATGGTCTCGCAATTTGTGAGTTCGAGTCCTGCATTGGGCTCTGTGCTGGCAGCTCAGAGCCTGGAGCTTGCTTTGGATTTTGTGTCTCCCTCTCTCTCTACCCCTCTCCCACTCATATTCTCTCTCTCTTTCAAAAATAAATAGACATTAAAAAATTTTTAATACACACACACACACAACCCTGTATTAAACATTTCTTGTCCAGAGCACTCTCTTTCTTGTGAAGACTGAGTATTCTGGGCAGCTGTCCTAACCAAGCTCAAGTAAAATTCTCTTCCTTTTTAAAGAAATTCTAAAAGGTTTGTTCATTTTACGTCAGCAGGATCCTGAAGAAGGTAAGAGAATCTTCCAGAAGGAAGGTTAAGTATTCCATATCACAGAGAAGGCACAACTTCTGCGATACCAATTATATATACTGCTGTCTTAAATGTGCCCAAAATGGAATTTGCAATTTGCCTATTTGCTATTGCAACACTATATGCCTGAGTTGATTTGCACAGCCACTTATACCTTACAAGGTGAGCTAGGAAGGAGATTTGTACGTTGGATTTGCAGTGAGCGTGTTGAGGTGAAAGGAGTAAGAAACAAGAGAATAGTAGGTGCTATGGACTGAATCGTGTCCCCCCCCAAATTCATATGTTGAAACTCTATTCCCCAACAGTACTATATTTGGAGATAGGGGCTTTAGGAGGATATCAAGGATACTTGTGGTCATAAGGATCGGGTACCTTTATAAGATGAGGAAGAGTTAGCAGAGCCCTCTCTCGCTACCATGTGAAGACACAGTAGTAAGGCAGCTGTCTGAAAGCCAGGAAGAGATGTCACCAGGAAGTTGACTATGCTGGCACCATGACTGCAGACTTCCAGCCCCCAAAACAGTGAGAAAACAAAATCCTGTCATTTAAGCCACTCATTCTATGTAATCATGTTACGGTGGCCTGACCTAATATGGTAGGGGTTTGGGGAATGTCATGGTGTCTGTCACTTTTCTTTCGAAAAAATATTGTATATCCCTACACACAATACGTTATCAAATGGTGGCTTGGTTTTTAGCCCAAATGAAGAGAGGGGTTGTCATCAAATGATCAAAAACTATGTTCATTAAAAACAAAACAAAACTCTGAGCACAAGCAGGGTACAGGAGACAAAATACAGCAGGGAAGTTGGTTCCTCCATCATCTTAGGTGTCAGAGACCACAGCTACATCATCCAGAGGGAGGGGTCAGGCACCACTGAAGGGCGGCCCTTCCTCTGTAAGGCAGCAGGGAGCGAGACTGGGAGAAGGGATGACAAGAAACACCGCTGTTTACTGTGCTTGTGAAACGTCAGAGATAAAGGAGGAGACTGGAAGAGAAAGACAAAGAGGGACGTCAGGAGTGACTGAGGAGAGGCAGCCGTGCAAAGGCAGGGCCGGGACAAACTGCGATTAGATCAGACAACACTGTTCATGGAACCTCATTTGGATTCATAGGTTTTGAGCGATCTAGGGACATTTTACAGGATACATTATTTGCTCTTTATAACATGTTTATGGTAACAAACTTTTTTTTGTTAATATTTTTATTTATTTCTAGGAGAGAGAGAGAGAGAGAGACAGCATGAGCAGGGGAGGGTCAGAGAGAGAGGGAAATACAGACTCTGAAACAGGCTCCAGGCTCTGAGCTGGCAGTCAGCACAGAGCCCGACGCGGGGCTCGAACCCACGAACCGCGAGATCATGACCTGAGCGAAAGTCAGACGCTTAACCGACTAAGCCACCCAGGCGCCCCTATGGTAACAAACTTTTTAAACCTCTGCTTGAAATGTAGCAATAGTTTAGTGGGGTTCTTTTTTCTTTTTCTTCATTCTGTTTTTATAGAAGAAACTGTTTTATTACCCATGTCAGATACTTTTGCCCGAGATTTTCAGGAAAAGCTCTATCATGCTACAAAAAAAAAAGCACAAATTCTTAGTTTAACTTCCATAAATGTTTAGTGTAGTCAGACATTTCTCTGCTTCTAGAAATATATATCTTAATGTAAAATGATCTTCCCAGGAATAAAAAAAATTGCCAGAAAAACATACTAACTGACATGATGCTCACAAGGCTGGTACCTCTGAGAAAAGGCCTAGAACGAATCTGACAAATTACTGTCAGGGAGCCCATATAAGAAACACTCACTAAAAGACAGTGGAATCAAATTCCTTGACACAGTCAGAGTCAATTTTTACAGAGTGATCCATGCTTTCCAGGTTATTTCATGTACATATCTATGCCTATGTAAAATTTATTCTTCACTACTGAACATCTTAGGTAAGAAACTAGAGTAAGACAAGACAATGGTCTCAGTGGCCTTTGATCTAGCAGCAGCATCTGTAGGGCCTAGAAGGAGAGAATCCCCATTCCAGAGTGAATCCAGATATGAGCATGAGGAAAACTCTGTGATTTGAGAAGCAGTGTTACTCAAGCTACAAGAAGCTAAAAAATGCCTAAGGATTACTAGAAGAGAGGTTGGCTCTACCAAAAGGAAAAAAAAAAAAAAAAAGGAGTTGAGACTGGCGAATATGCTATCAGTCTCCTTCATCTAACTGTTCCTTCCCCACACATACACACTGGGCAACCTACCCTAAGTGCTTCCTTGCATTTGCTGGGCAGCATGCACTCCAGGGACACTGGGCAATGGACTGCTCCGGGATTCAGATTCTCGTTTACTGCAATGCTGCACTGATGGACACAGTGATGTTAGAAACCCTTCTTTAGTTAGGGCATCAGAAGCTGGAGAGCACAAATCTGCTTCTATTTGAGGTAGTAGGGAGTTAGGCTCTACTGAGTGTGCAGGCTCTTTTATTCTCCCCAAACCTTCCTCCATTAGCTTTCTGAGACAATCAAACCAACACAGGCAAAGTGAGTGAGATGGAGGTAATGTAAGTATGCAAGTAAGTGAGATGTGAGTAAGTGAGATGGAGGTGACGCAAAGTACCAACCTCCTCATCTCTCCCATATCCCCGCTGAACAACGTTCCCAAGATAATATTGAAATATAGGGTAATTGTTTGCTTGGGGCCAAGCTCAGCCACTCCTCTGCCTCATATGATTTTATTAAGGAAACATGGCTACCTGTATAAGTACACCCATTCACTGGGATGCAGGCTACCAGGTCTTACTGGAAGAAGAGACATATGGGTCACTGATCTGCTCATCCAGAACTAAGTCACCATGCTCTCATCTTCTGCTCCCCACCCATCTTTTTCTATCACCCTTTCACCTCCTACTTATTTTTTAAAGCCTTTTAGTTTTATTTTCTTTTACTTCCTCAGTTTTAAATTTCTTTTCTTAATCTTTAATTTTTTTACATGTTTATTTCCATGGTCTTTTAATACCTTATCTGC